ATACTATAATTTGTTCAGATTTATTATTAACTCATTTTTTATTTTTTTTTAAGTTTCCTCCCTTTCTATTGCAAAGGTCTCATATAAATTTTCATATATTGTAATATATCTATTCTTAGAAAGAATTCTTGGGTTCTCTTCAAGTATTTTTCTAAATGGATTATGAATATAGAAGCATTATATTTCTGGTATTTCATGATCATATCATTCACCTAAAGGACATAATGCTTCTAATATTCTTCTATATTCTTTGAAATTTACATCACTATAGCTTATAGAAACTAGTTTATATTGGGTTTTACTATCTAAATCTATAATAGTATTTTAGTAGATTATAATAGATTATAATGATTTTAAAGTATTTTATTGATTTTAGCAATTTCACTGTTTTTTATCGATTTATAATGATCTATAACAGTTTGTAATAATTATATTATAATAAAATATCAGATTTATTTTTATTCGATTACAAGTATATCAGGATTTATATCTTAGGCTAAGCTAATTTTATATTTACATGCATATGTACAGTGTCTGGCTAAATCAGTTTGTAACATAACATATATCATATCACACGTATTACCCTAAATCCTTGCCAATTCCTCAGGAGCTGATGAATTTCTATAAATCACAAGATAATTAGCTAATCAGATTTTAGATTTTTTCTAATGGTAGAGTCTGGACAAACGCTAGATTAGCATCTGGTTAAATTTACTATATCTTCCAAAACCTAGATTTCTGATAGATACGTATATGAGTTCAGATTAAATTTATCTCTGAAAGTACTGTGCATATGACTAAATTATTTTTCAAATGGTAAAGTCTGAATAAGCTTGTCTGAGCTTGTCAGCAGAAGAATGAATGAATTATGTAACGTAATACAATATGTCAAGTGATAATTTATAGTGCAGTACTTCACATATTTACGAAATTATTTATTACATATTCCAAATGTATTTCACATACTCATTTACAAAGCAAATAAAAATATAAGTCCTGAATTGTGAGGGTAGAACTTTATTAAATTGTTTTAGCTAAAGGGTTTCAGAAGGACTAAAGTTACCATATTCTCCTAAAAATGATAGCTGAAGGCTGTATAAACTTGTTTGAGTTCGTCAAATCTTATACGTTAAAATTTCAGCTATTACATATTTGATTTCATTTGCAGTTAAATTTAAGATAAATGATGGAAAAATAGATCTATTTTTTCTTTACCTATGGTATTAAAAAGCTTATATATCTTTTCAGATTTCTCTGTCTTTTTTCGCAAAGCTTTATCAGAGCATTTTGTCTCAGGAATCGCCACCCTAACCCCTTTTTTAATTATCGCTTCAGATCCATCCTTGCCAAACTTGGGTTTTAATTCCTTATATCGCTTAAATACAGCTTCCTCAAAATTAAAATAACTGAAAATGAGTCCTTAAGATGCTTCTTCATTTTTAGATTCAACATGATCAATCCTATTGGAGAGTTGCAAGAAAATACTCCTGTCATCATTTGTGTCATTCAGACCTAGATCTTCCAAGTCTTCAGACCTCAATACCCTCCATTATTGTTGGAGACGTTGAGACAAACTTTTCGCTCATCAAATTAGATATAACCGAAGTTTCACTTGATTATGAATCTCTTCTAATAGAAGTTGGACTGCTATACTTTTGATTGAGAACTTCATGACATATTCTTTTGGTAAGAAAATGGGTAAACCGGGACAAAAAATGTCACAATTGGAAAAATTTTTTGTGTACCTCTGATTGTTCCCTGAGGGAATGGTTTTTTGTCATATAATTTAAGAGGTTAGTAGTTAGTACATCGTGCAATAAAGTGAACACTATTATAGTATTATGTATACGAAACTAACATGTGAACATTTTTATCTCTCTAATGCACACCCCACGCCACAATAAAAAATTCTTTTATTGATACAGGAAATAAAATATATGATTCGACTTGTAGTTGTGATACATACAGTAGATTTGCTACACGATGGTTCTATATTAATGTCTGAAAAGATTTTTCGCTTATCAAAACTATCTATCCATACTAACACCTATCCAGTTTCATTTGCCCAATCATCGAGTTGTCAGTTGTACTTACACGAGACATGCAATGTCAGAAATAAATGAACATTAACTTTAGTAAAGCCCGCCAAAATTTTACATTGCAGGTCTTCAGAAATCCTGAACCAAAAAAAAGTGGTTATTAGTTCGCTTTGAAGTCACTTCTTTTTGCGATCATAACCCGGTTCATATGATTATATGAAACTTTATGTCGTACATGACGACAATGTGATTTATTAATCACATATTACCCGCTTACTAATTGTTCGCCCGTGATGTTTCATATTGATATATTACCAGATTTACTATCAGAGTTGAATTTTCCGTGAAAATATCAACATGACGCAATTACCATGATATATCAAACGAAAATTGTACCACAAAATATTTAATATATTTTATTTAGTAAGCTTGATATAAAAAAAGCATTTTTAAAATATTACATTATTACAAGCATTTATGATTAATGAAATATACATTATTTAAAGTAAAAGTTAACATTTTGAAAGTGACATTTATTAAACATCAAAGCCTTTCTTTACTACTATTATTGAAAGGCATATTAATTGGTAAATCTTGTGATTCAAGATTTATAATTTGTAACGGTTTCTTATTGTAATCTTGAATTTGTTGCACAGGAAATAATATTTCCTTTTCAATGTCAGTATTTTTGGATGTTTTAGGTTTTAAACATAAATTATTTAAAGTTCACGAGCAGTATTAAATTTTACGGTCTTCTTGATTTCATTTTTTAAGAAATGTAAAGAAAAATTATTTATAATATAAAAACAGTATTTACGTCACAATAACATGTGACTTATATAATTCATGTGATTTTCTTATCACGGGCGTTAGTAATCGTGAAATATAATAGTTATTTACCGCTCAATCGCCGACATCATCAGGGTTACGGCTACGCCGTGATACCTGATGATATCTCTGATTTCGCGATAAATAACTAATACATATTCATCATCAAATTTGAATCTGAATCTACCTAATGATTATTTTTCATAAAAGAACAATAGTTTTCCTCTATTAGTCTTCTATTTTGTGTTTGATTAACACTAAGAAATGACTGAAACAGCAAATCAGTTACTAAGTCGCGTCATCCCGGTTTACACATGGCAGGCACCAGGTTCAACCGCTACAACTAAACCAGCTTATACTCGCTTTTCACGTGTCGTGAGAGAATGGCGTTTCTTCAACCGAAGCGTCAATGCAAACTGTCATATTCTGGGAAGACAATTTCAAGTTTTTCCAACTGATGTACAAGATCTACGTATAGAAGACGATGCAAAACTTCATTTTTTTTTTAATATTTTATGACCAGTTAAAACATTACTGGGAGGAGCAGAATTTCATACAAGATGTACTGGATTTTTGGGTGTTTCCGATTTCATTTTATGCACTAATAATCCCACAGCGGGCAAGATGCCTGTGGAGGTTAAAACGCGTCACAATTTGAGGTTAGGTAATTATCACCTTTGGGAAATTTATCGACATGTTGATCGGGCTCAAATAGCAGATCAAGATTTTAGGTTTAGAAAAAAGATCTTATCTCAGTCATTTGGCGAAATGGCTTGCAATAGTCTTCATTTCGGCATTTTGACAAACTATTCTGATACATACTTTCTCAAACGACTGAAAAATGAACCAGATAACCTATATGTTTCTCGTGTTGTTCATCCTGATAGTACCAATCCGACTTTACGCGAGTGTGTTTTCTACATCTGTTAGCAAGCTATTAATGATATTGTCGGCAATAGATTAGATTGTGTAATGGATGACAATTTTACATCCTATGATGATGACGATGAAGATGACGATGACGAGAATTATCCTGATAATGGTCCTGACGATGATTATGTTCCTTCTGATAATGATAATTCTTCTGACAATAATTATAGTTCAAAGAAAAGGAAGAGTTCTTCGAAGCAGATCAGTAGCAGAAAGGGAGTAACTGCATCATCTTCCAAAGGAATCACTACAATAGGTGAATACATAGGTGGCGGAACCTTTGGAAAGGTTTTTTCTGGCTATTATGATGGTCAACTCGTGGTATGGAAGTCTTGTGATGCGTATAAGGAGCAAGAAGTGACGGAAATGCTAAAACATGAAGCTCATATTTACTCTATTTTAAAAGAATGCCAAGGTACAAATTTTTTTCATTCATAATATTTTTAGATATTATTAACTTATCTATTGAAATATTGATATTAGGTCGTGCTGTTCCACGTTTGTTCTATAAAGGTTACATTTATGACGGATATCTTTTTGCATTAGTATTGCAATTAATTGAGGGTGCCCATCACGTTGTTCCGGAAAAACTCACTATAGAGGAAAAAAAATTAATAATCAATCAGCTCAAGTCAATACATAATTGTGGCATCCTACACAATGATATCTCAAAGCAAAATATTCTATATGAACCAAAGAGTTGCCATTACTTTTTTATTGATTTTGGCTTGAGTGAGATCGTGGATAATGAGTCGCCGAAATTGCGCAAGGAAGAAAGAAGATTAAAAAGATTTTTACAACTTTAAATGTCTGGATGCATAGTGTTAATATGAAAAAATTATTGACGATTGTTCACTTCGACTAGTTCGTGAGCAATACAATTAGGAATTAGAATTACTTAACTAAAACTATTCTTTATCAATAATAATGTATTATTATGCTAGATGGAACATAAATAAATTTTTATTGCAAGCTACAATGTATATGTAAGTTTTCGTTTTAAATCATGAAATAAATAATATATTTGCGCAACTTATTTTTTCCAATGCATATTAAAAAACATAAAGCCTTATTTAGGAAAAATTTTATTAAATAATAAAGTGAGGTGGCGAGAGAAACATATGATGCTATCAAAGAGGGAGGGAGTACGCGGATCCTAGGCGAGTTACAGCATCAAGTTATTTCTTTTCTCTTTCATGATTACTATAACTAATTTGTTTTTATTTCTATTTCTAACTTGTTTCTATCACTAATTACAAGATTTTCATAACAATACTCTTTTTCTACACTAGATTTCTGAAATAAATTATCTCACCAATATCTATAGAATTTTTGTCTATCTACATCACTCCCACTCACACAGATTATGTAATAGATTATTTCCCACAAGAGAACTTCCCTGAGACGAAATGATTTTGAATCTATAGAAAAAATTCACGAAATTAGCAATGAGATAAAAAAAATAAAATAAGGTGAGGGCTTCCGATTCACACTTACCGCTATAATTTATTTTAATAATATTTTACACCACCTCATAATATTTCGATTTTTTTATCACCAGTACGATACTGCACCAAAAATCAGCAATTACCAGAAAATTTTATTTGATATTCTGCGTCAAATTTGGTTGAGACGCGTGATGACGATGATAGTCTCGGCAAAGATCAAAATGCCGATATATAACAAAGAAAAGCAATATGTCCGAAATTTTCATGGACGTAGAGTTGGAAAAATCGATTAGCACTGTGATGACGTTTTCCTAGAATCAAATCTAACATACCTTCTCTTATTCTTGGGAATTAATTGATTAATGATCTTGATGATGAAATAATGGTAAGCTTGTATTTCTTTTTAATTTACTTGCACAAGGCGAATAAAAGGATTCAATAACTAAGACCTTACCTTTTTATATGATTTATAGTGCGTCTAAGGATAATAAATCTTTGGAGAAATTACGTTATTATGATTCATCACGAAAATCAGATCAACAAATACTCCTGGATTAACAAGAAGATCTTTTTTATTATTAATACATGTAAAAGCTTGAATATATGTGGAAAGTTTCGAGAATAAATTATATAGTGGCAATGACTTATTCCTGTGATACATGGTGACGTTATTTTTGAATGATACTGCGCATTTATCAAGTCAGGTGAAAATAAAAGCATACAAACCATACAAACATAATTCCACACTCTCCTCAACACATATTAGATATTGACATGTAAATATATTGCGTTTAATGTGCCTTAGCCTTATTGATTATAAATAAAAAATACATATTTTTGTTCATATATGCAGAATAATATCTTTTACTATTAATCTGCAATTTGCCATGCAAATACTGATGTCAAAATGCCATTACATGGCTACGATCGCGAACTTGAATTTATTGCTTGAAGAGTTATAGCTAAGACAATATTCTGTTTCATACCATTTGTCATGTAATCCATAATTCCCATATTTTCCATCGCAAATAGGACATGGTGAGCTTCACGGTTGAGGTGATGCAAAATTATAATTATCAATCCCTCTGAAACTATTTCGGAATTTCAGGTATGTAAAATGTTCTAAGACAGACTTGATAATTAATTCTGGATCAGGTTTGGCTTCGAAAGTAATAGGTTTATTTTCTTCACATTGCTTAGGAAAAAATAAATAGGATGCTTTATTTTCTGACTTCGAATTTACGAGAAGGCTGACTTATAATGTATGCGCTTCTGATAATTGCCATAGATTATACCCAGTTTCTTTTTTATATTTTTTGTATAAGCTGGACTGAATCTTATCTGTCAAAACGCATGGTAAACCAGTTAATTTGGTAAGCCAATTCAGATACTCGGGTTAATACTTTATCGGACTTGCTTATATTACCTTTTTATATGATTACAGATCAATTTAAATTCCTGAATAGAAAGCTGTCTACTATTTCTTATCATATTTCCAAAAAAATAATTAGATCATCTTTCGAAGTATCTATGATATAAGAAAGGGGTAATGAGACTATACAGTTATCTCAATTTCGCACTGTTTACATTTAATAAAGTAAGATCTGGATTTATACATACCTTCTATACTTTTCTCGTCATCATGATCTAAACTGCATAATAGGCATGATGTCTCATCAGTAATGCCATAATAATTGAAATTTTTACTATTAAATTCTCTATATAAAGTAGAATATTGATCTAATGTTTTGTTGCGAAAATAGAAGTGATTATGAAGTGGATTTTTGGATTGAGGTGAAGGTAATATATCTGCCGATGTACTTACCTTAGCCTTAATCTGATCATTCCCTAAGAGAACAGTTTTTAAAGTCACATAATTCTGATGTTCACTAGTATATTTTTTTTTTACTTGATTTATGATATTTTAGATTTGTGTGTTAGTTAGTTTAAAATTTCAGTTGCATTATATAAGACCAGCTTAATTTTATCTATTCTAACCCCATTTTTCCTGAATAACATGAGATGTTTTCTAGCCCTATGAGTTTTTTTGCGCAAGTTAGCTTGTGTGATTTTAGTAGAAAGAAATAGTTTTATTTTCTTGTAAATCATTGATCTTGCCATTTTATCCTTAATTCTACTATCAGCCGTAAGAGCATCTACCTTATTCTCAAATTTAAAGAAATAATTGTGCCAATCTAATATTTCCTGCTGATTGGATTTTATTGTTGTTTCAAATAAATAAGATAAGTGTTAAGCAAAACCCAAAATCATATTCTCTAAACTAACGTAAGGACTGATGATTTTGATATTATCTTGTCTATTTGAGACCTCTTTAGGTGATATAGGTACACATAATTCATGTATTAGACCTTGTTCTACAATTTGATTTTTATCAAGTGATTCCTCTTGAATTATATCATCATCTTGCTTTACAAATAGAAGATCTGGTTTATCTAAAGTCACATAATTCTAATCATTTTCTGAGGGAACGGTTTTTTTGAATTCTCTCAAAATTTCTGAAATCACCTGATCATCTTTTTCAGAGTTGTATGATAGGTTGGCAACTGTCGATTCACGTTGAAGTTTTCTCACTTTTTCTGCCTTATCTCATTACTAACAATTTTCTTATGAGTCTCAAACAAGAAACTATTCATATCTTTCTCTTCTAACGATTTGCCATTAACCATTAAGGTACTTTGCAAGCACTTTACAGAATTAGCAGGTACTGTAGTCACCTCTGTTACCAGTTCTTATTTATTATAGCAATTCTCTTCAAGAAAGAAATTACCTGTTTTCACATCCACTAATAGTTTCTCATGATACTCTGCAACTGAATTAAAGTTAGATGTACTATTATCAGAAGGATTATCATTATTCAACTGCTCTCTCACTAATAAGGAAACCCATTCTATTATTGCAAATCTGGTCTTAAGCTTTTTATTTTTTTGTATCAGTTCCTCAACTCTAATATCAAATCTAATATTCTCTTTCATAATCTGCTTTAGAAGCTCATCTTTTTCTGCCTCAAGCTTAGCATTCTTAGCTTTAAATTCAATGATACGCTATTTTAATACTTCAAGCTCAGATGTTATGATTAATAAATTTTATACAAGAAATGGAATATTCAAAAGTAAGTTAGTATAGTATATATCAGATATAAGAAAAAATAGACATAAGTTATGACGTTACCAGATTTCTGAAACTGCGTGGTCTTAAAAAAAATGCTAAGAAAATTTTACATGATCTGCTGGCGAGTTTTAGTAAATCACAAGATGATCAACTGATCACTAATTGACATGTTAATATTGAATAAATGTGAAAATAAATATAAATTTATAAACTTCTCTTTATTATATTGATATATAAGAAAGGTCAACTAAAATGAATTACATAAAAGAAAATATAAAATAAATAGTAAAGTAGATGAGAACTAAAAGAGAAGAATAAAGTGTGAAAAAATATGTCTACTAAGCTCTAACTCACATAATAGCAATTCTTTTCCCCATCTACTATACTGAAATAATAATATTATTATCATTATTTCTATTATTACTATTATGAGTAAAAGTTTTTCTATTAATGCTACTACTACTACTGCTTCTCGAAAAACTACCATCTTTTTTTCATTTTCTCTATTAACTTAGACCTTTATTTTATCTATTGTTATCACCCTCGAAGTTGTTTGATGTCTATAGAAATTCATTAACGTGGCTGAACTAAGTTCAACTTCATTTTTATTAGATAATATATTATATAATTGTGCAGGAAAACAACTTTCTCTCTTTCTTTTTTGATTGAAGAGAGCTGAAAACTCAATCTAATATATTTCTATATCCTCACTATAAACAGAATATCATCCAGTTGATATATTACTTATAGCTAAAAACTGATTAGAGCTGGCTAGGGAAGAATAAATCTCATCCTGAAAAAATGTTAAAAAATCGGTCATATAAAAGAATATTATATCTTGAAAGATTGCATTATTTCTCTATTCAGCCTTTTTACGCATTCTCCAGAGATCATTTTTTATCTCCAGAATTTTAGGATTATTATTTCCTCTAGGCCTTTCTTGATGAAAATAGATGAATAAAGTCACAAGATTTATATAGATGACTATATTTCTGGAAAAAAAAGTCTGGAGTATATCTAGTATTATAATACCTCGAAGGAGTATCTTATAGATTATGAATACAATAGTAAAGAGTGCAATAGAAAAAATTTTAAATTTTAAAAGCATTTTGTGAAATAGTTTTAAAAAATGATAAATTATATAGTTTGATAATTCAAAGAGTCTGGGCGACTTTGGCAAAAATATATATATTTGATTTATTTTTTTTTCTTACTTAAGCCTTCCTATACATTCACATTTTTATAATTATATTCCTTTCGCAGTTGATCATCACAAAACATGAAAGTTTCTAGATTTTCACTGGTTTTGAGTTGCAAATTAACCTAGTAAATGATCAGTCAAAAGTATTTTGTCAAAAAATTTAACGCTATTCATATATAAAGATCATCAAAGGGCTATACATATTTTTGAGAATATGCGAGAAAGTTTGAGAATAAATTATTTTACGCAGTTGTTTATTTTTGTGATACATATGATGTCTTTACTAAATGTTACTGTGTATTATTTATCAAGCTACAATTGATCTATAATAAATACTGATGAACATTGAGTCTAGGCTCGTCCAATTGCACAGAAACAGGATCAGCATCTGGTTAATATTTTTATACATATAAGATCAGCATCATACTTAGCTAGATTACATAATGCTAAATTTCAGCAGTCTAAAATCGTATGTTTTCTCTAAGATCACTTGGTATTTTTTTATATCTAGAAAAAAAAAAACTGAATATTTATTGCTCTAGAAAAAAAATCTAATAATTATGTAAACTCTATAACTTAGCTGATTTAACTCACTCACAAGTCTAGCTTATTACTGGTAGTTAAATATGTGAGACACATATTCGTTTTGATATTTCTTTAGAAGCTTGACTTTTATAGCTCTTTTTTTAGCCTCTTTATGGGGAATATCATCTTTGACCATATTCTCTCCCTTGTGCATTTTGTATTGCAGAAGAATTCTTTTTTCAGCTTTAACGGCAGTATCTTTCATTGTATCAGAGATAGGTAAGTCTTATATTCTGAAGATAATGTCTCTCAGCGTTATCTATCTGATCAATTGAAAATAACTGTAGATGATGCTTAGGATAGCCTTAAAATAGGAGTGGAATACAATATACCTTACAAACTTTCTTTTGCTGATATGCCATAAAAATTATCTTTTCTGACGTGATTGATGGAATAGCTTTCTCCTCACTATTCTTTGCTAGATAGAGCAGATTCTCATATACTGTAATATTCTTGATCAAATCAGTTTTATCATCTACCTTCCAATTCTCAACTATCATAAGCGGTCTTGAAAAGTATTACTTCTTTTTCCAATTATCTAGCCTATAGCATCTTAATTTTGCCTCAATAATTTGAGAACAAGGAGTTGCTTGAAGTTCAGTAGGTTCAATATATTTAAGAACACTATCAGATTCATGTATTGTACTCAATTGCAGGTTATATATACGGCATTGTTAATCTAACCTTTTAGGCTATGGTTCACAATAAAACAACATTTTGGAGGCTCAATAGTCTATCCTTAGATTCTATAAATTGTTCTTCAACCAGCATATTTTCACTCAGTAAGAAGTTTATGCAATACTATTTTAAATGGTATATTTACCATCATATTAACATATGCTTCAATAATTTTATTGCTATCTGAAATCTGCACAGGTTTTTCTTGAATGTGATATATATGCTTGATACTTTTATCTGGATTGAAATGGATAATTGAGAACACATTTAGGAAAATGTGACTTATGAGTCTGTATTAATGCATTTTCAACTCACATACCATATTATTTGTGAAGCAAATTCAGATATCTTCTGGAGTCCATTCAGTAAGTGCATTCTTCTATGATATTGTAGGTATAGTTTCACTGAATTCTTGTAATTAGATCATATCATCTTTCATCTACATGCATAATTTTAGTACCTTAAGTTTAGAATCATAAACGCGATAATCATCCATGCATTAGATTTACTTTATTAGCTCATTCAGTAAGAAATTTATGTAGACCTTCTTTATCACTCTATGGTGTAAGTTGGCCTGGATCATCACACATAATATTCTGACACCCATGACTTTCAGCATATGACAATAATTTTTGCAAAACCTTCTTTAGGATCATATTTGCTTCATTAAAGATAAATATTTCATCTAGAGCTTTTTTTCTAAGACATGCAGAATCCTACTCATCGATAGGTATTACTTTTAGATGAAAATACTTATAATATGTCATAGCCATTAAGCCTGGATTTTGCTTTCTATAGTATTTCACAAACAAATTTGCTGGTATAAGAACTACAACTTTTTGACCAAAAAATACGCGAATAGCTTGTGTTGTTTTTTCACTACTGCTTTGTCTGACTAGATAAACTTTTTGTAATGTTATTAATTTTGAATCAATAGAAAGAAGGGGTGTATCACTTGAAAGGAATTCCAGTATACCTTTATTATTAATGACCCAAGACAATGCTTCTTTATGATAAGTAAATTTCTCCTTTTTCTTGCGCCATTGGTCATGCTTAATTTTTAATATTTCTAGGACAATAAATAATTGATTCATATTGCTTTCTTTTTTATCTAGTTCAGCTTCATATTTCGCATGTACTTCTTCTAATTCTGCACTATTTTTCGCTTTAGCAAAGAAGCTGTTATCAAAATCAGGGAGCAGTTCTTGTCTCATCTCAATAACAGTTTCATCTAAAATAGTTTCAGAAATTGCTATAGCGTAAATAATATCTATACATACTTGTAATACATTTTTTATCAAAAAACATTTTAGCTGTTCAAGTATAACAATATAGGTATAGGCAAGAACAAAAGAACAGATATGCAACTATTGCCTACGTTTTTTATCATCTTCATACTTGATTAAAGTTTCTTGTTCTGTTCAGATTCAGTTTAGTTAACGCTTATTTTTTGCTAACCAGTTGACTAACATATTCATTTTATTTATATCTCAAACTAAAATAGACGTTACTTGTGCATTATAAATATATGAGTCTACAAAGCAGACAGCTAAATTACGATCTGGTGAAAACTCAATGCGAGATTTTTTACTTACACTATATATAACTTCTCTTGGAGTTGTACTTAAAAGCCATTCTTTGCTTAGCAAATAATTAACTAAGGGTGTTAGTATCCAACCTTTTTCTGCCAAATGTTGCCTGATAAGTTCTGTTATAAATAGATGCAAGTCTTGAGCGAATTTCCATGCTACAAGTTGAATAATACCTTTCAAGTCGTGAATAGTATCAATATTGTCAACTTGAGTATGTTATTGTATTCTTTCTGGAAATCCATATTATCAGACCTAAGGCAATGCTTCTGATGTGCTTCGTTCTGAATCTTCACAGCCAAGATATGCTTCACAAAGATCTATGTAAATATGCTTAGGAGAAGGTCTATTAGTACATTCTATACTATTGATTTTACCTGTAATTTACGCCAGATCTCTACAATATTTCTAGGCGTAGATGCAATACCTTCTTTTTTTCGTCAGCAATAGAATCGATAAGACTGAATGCTTTCTAATAATTTTAAAACTTTATCAAACTCAGCTTTAAGCTCTTCTGAAGGAGCTAGTATATTATATTGATACTCATCTTCGATCCATTAATGAATATCTACACTTTCTTCCCATAAAATTCTTCAGGTATAGATTGCAATTTTTCATATATAAATGTATCATTCAGCTTTCTCTATTCATGAAAACTACGATAAAGAATATCTTCATGAGTTAGAATCTCCTTACCTATAATCCATATTCTTATAGCTCTTAGAAGATTTCTTACGACAAATGATATAAGAGCTTTAGCAATCTTTTTTTTGTCAATATTAATCTTTTCCTCTTTGGTCTTTGTACATGCAGAAATAAGTATTTTTTTACATTCATAATCTATATTATAGACTAAAGATATTCGAGGCATTTCAGGTATACCTCCTGTTCATACATGATTATTATAGCAAAATACTATTAGTTTATGCTATTTGAGATATCTACCATTATTTCATATTTCATTTCCCAAAATATCTTTTACAATGATTTTCATTCCTATACCTCCAGATATTTCTGGCTTTTCAAGATCATGCAAATCATCTAAAGTACAGCCAGATGCTTGTATTTTTTTATTAAATTCTATAAGAGCACTTTCACGAGCTAGCGTTAGCCCTATAGTTTACTTTGTTCCTCCATATTCTATTAGTCATTGTAATTCTACTATGATACAATTCAAGTTATTATCATAAAATAGCCCTAGTAGTCCTTGTAGTCTCAGAATTAGTCAAAGTTCATAATAGATATGATCAACATAATCACGAGTTCTTTCCCTTAAATATATATCGATTCCTTCTAATTGTCCTAGTGTGATCTCTTCTCCTGTAAGACTACCAGCTTTCTTTTTCTTACCAAAATACCATCCTTTATCTTCTATTTCTTTAGTAAATCCATCGAGTGTATTAAGTTAAGTAAAGAGTATATACTTTGTAGAATGATAAAGAAGACAGCAAGCTTCTGATGCCATTTTATAGCTAATATTGACTAGTTCATCACTATGCCACTATACAGTTCCATCTTTATAAATACCTGACCCATATAATTTTAGACGTAAATATGCTATAAACTAAAAATGTAATTTATAGAGCTGGCCTTCTAGCTCAAGATTATATGGCTTGTCTTGATACTCATTAAGAGTCATTGCTTTTAAATCTTTTCAGGATAACCATACTCTCTTATCCATAAATAGAAGCTCATCTAGGCTAACTTTTTTATAAGAATGAGCATGCAATAATGGTTATCTATGAGGATTCATGTAATACTCTTCTTTTCCTCTTAGAATCTATACCTCCTTTATGCCTACAAAGGCATCAGATTTATTTTATTATACTTGCTCTTCCATTCTACCAATTTCCCAATCATTAGTCACTCTAATATCATATTCCTCATCATCATCCATTAGATCCTGAATTTTTTTAGTATAATTATTTATTATATGCAGTTTATTTGCCCTTTTAAAAAGCCTCTAATACCCAAATCCATGTTAATTTTTTTTCCTTTGAGATGCTAATTTTGGAATTCGTCTTGAAAACCACCAAATCGATCTATACATTCTGAATTTTCTTTTCCTAGCCATTTCTGCTTGTTTGCCTATTCATCAAATGTAATAGAGTCTATATTTCAGATTCTTTTGGCTTAAACCTTTTACTGATCCTGCTAACTAGTCGGCTAATTCATCTATAGATTTATTTTGTAAAACATAATGAGTCCCATTTCTTTTTTCCTCAGCTACCTTCTGAAGTTGTGCAATTTCCTCTTGATACTTAGCAAGCAAATTATTATAACATGGATATAGTATCACATATAATATTATTCCTTTAAGCTCTGTAAGTTTGACTTGAACTTCTTTACGAATATTTGCTTGATTAGCTTGACAAGATGACATTTTATATAGTATATCTTACAATATAATAATAATCTTAAAAAATTTTTATTCAATTAATTAATTCTCCTTCTGCTTTCATATATGTCAAAGCAGAGTATTATTTATCTTTTTTTGAGCATTATGAAGAAAAAGGCCACCTACCCCCCTACCTAACAATTCACTAGACGCAAATATAGTTCTAGGTCTGGGTAATAAGCAAACTGGCTAGAGAATCCCAGCTAAAAGTACTTAAAACAAAAGATCAGATCAAGGAAAGTAGGTGTCAAATATATTAGGTTACATTTTTTTTACATACTTTATTTATCACTCTACTTCATTCTGCATACAGTAAGCTTATTTGCTTTTAAAAAACTCATGCTAAATAAAATATCAAATTAATATTTATACAATTCCAAAAAGTTTAG